AAAAAAAAAAGAATAAAAAACCTTCAGGAGACCTACCTGCTCGTGGTGAGTTTGGTGTGACATAGAAGAACGGACAGATACAGAAGGGGCTCCTCCCGATGCCGCCTGAAAATGACATCCATCATCTTTCAACAAAGCCTTGTAATTTCTGAGGTAGATGACTTACAGTATCCCTCCTCCCTTCGTTTTCGTAATGGTAGTGTTCCTAAAATTCAAGTGAATTGAAATTATTCATTGAAGCCAGTGCTCATTTGAGTCAACGAGCAATTTACTGGCGTCTGTTCACAACTACAACTACAAGTACTACTATTTACTATTATTATACTATTTAGTCATGATAGGAAAATCCTTGAAAAGTACAAAGAAAACCCCGTCTTTCTAGAAGGCTCCTGAGATGGGCTAAGGCTAGGTCGGACGGAGCCGAGATATTTTAACGTCCTACGCAGTATTTACCAGCAAGAGTTCATGATTATACCACCAAGGGTGATCAGATTTTTGCAAATTTTAAAAGACTTCTGTTTTAGAATGCCCATTCCAGTACTGAAGGAACCAAAAAGTATCCATCGTCGCACATGAAGATGCAAATGCACCGCACTACAACCAGCCAGTTACCGAAAGCTCGATGGATGCTGAGATGACCTTTAAACCAAAATTTTAAAGTCACAGTCCTTACCCCGCCTTCATAGAAGCTTCCGCTTCGTTCCTCGTGTTTTTCCGCGTGAAAATGATGGCCAGAAGAATGTGTTTCAACGGTGCGGGTCTCAGTAGTGACTCGGGTCTCTTCATGTTGACTTGATGTACGATGACTTTCGAAATGAGATGATTCCGATGTCGTGATGACCATATCACCCTCCTGCTTCACTTGAGTTGGTGGCAAATGAATTGGTGCAGAAAACACCATTGCGAGAAGATCTTAAAACAAAGATAAATAAGAATGCTGTTTGCCAGCCTGAATGTTTGAATATTTATTTTTAAATGCCGATTTTCAAGTTTCCTGATATTACTGTAACAGTTGAGTTAAGTGGGTTTATAAAAGGAACAGTATGATAAGAGCTTTTCACACCACTGGGACTGATCGCACTAGTCTCCTACTCTGACGAGAAGTAGGAGGTAGGCAGAGCAAGAGGAACAGTTGCCGTAACTCGGTAAGGTAAATAGCCGCATGAATCAGCCCTGACGTCGGTAGATAGGGGAGGGGTGGCGCTGGGGAGGGGGGGGGACGTGATCTACTAAAGATTAAGGT